GGGGCCACAGGGGTGATGGGTGCCACCTGGGTCCAATGAAGAAGACCTAGCTAGTGGGAGAGGGAAGCCCCTAGGGCTAAGCCAGGTCCGCATTTTGCTGCCCTGGTGGCTTGGCAGGACAGTTCTCAGGGAGGTTGTCCCAGCCACCCCCTCCCCCGGCTGCCACCCCCTTCCCCACTGGCCTCCTGCCTAGCCGCCCAGGTCTGCTTGCTGCCTGGGACCTCTGTGGGCCTTGAGGCCCATGGGTGCCAGTGGCTCTCCCTGGGCCCAGATGAGATTGGGGCCTCTTCCAAGCTCTGCCAGGCTGCATCTCCTCCAGGGGCCTCTGGAGACGGTGCTTAAGGGCCTCACTGATGTGTACGGCACCACCCTCCTCTGCCTGCAGTGGCCTACTGCTGCACCCATCCCTGCGCCAGGCCCCAAAGGCTGGAGCGCAGAGGTGGCAGGTGAAGTCTCTCGTGCCTGTAAGGGGTCACCATGCCATGGGTGGGACTAGCCCAGCCTCAGATTTCCCATTGGCCTTGCTGCTTCAGAGCAGGTGGGGCTCCAGCACTGGAAGTCGAGGGGCAGGAGGTGAAGCAGGTGAGAAATGGTGACGTTCTGCCTCCCTGTCCCCAAGAGCAAAGAATCAACTCACGTCCCTCAGTCCAGGCCTAGGTGAGGGGGCCCTCCTCAGCAAATGACCCTTCCTTTCCTCCACCCATTGTTTCTTGAACACCCTATGGTTTCTCCAAATCAGAGACCCCACCTCACTGCCAGGCCCTGCTGGGTTCAGCCCCGGATTGCAGGGCACCAGGGAAGCCTATAGCATCCTCCCCTGCCGCTCCAAGGTGTGTGCTCGGGCATGCATGCTGAGTTTGGGGGCTGCAGCTGCTGGTGGGTCATCACATCAGGAAGGCAGCCTGCTGGGTCCAGCGGAAGGAACATTCTGAAGGCCCTCTCTGGGAGAAGTGGACTCCTGACAGTGCTCCAGCCCACGGGCCCTCCCACCACCCATACGGAGCTCATGACCCCACGAAGACTTGGCCAGCCCCCTCCCCCCGTCCTTCCAGCTCAGAGGGGTGGGCACAGACCAGACTCTTTTGAGGGCAAAGTGCTGGGCACTGTAGGAGGGGGGCCTGCTCCCTGAGACCAGCTCCTACCCTGCATAGTTGGCCCCCAGCAAAACCCTGAACCATTTAGAGTCCCCCTAAAAGTTTAGAGCCCCCCTCAAACTGAGTTCCCCTGCCAAGTTTATCATTACTCTCTCTAACCAGAACTTTATTCCGTTTCTTATCCCACCCCTTCCCCCTCAGGTTGAGGAGTTTCAAAGAAAAGAGGGGATTGAATCTGAGCAGGACCCAGTGGGGCCTCCCCTGAATTCCACAGAGCAGACTCAAGCAGCAATAGAGTCACAGGACACCAAGCTCCCCCTGAAGGAGTAGACACAACTATCTGACCAGATCTTTGAGTCAGTCTGTAAAAACTAAGACCCTCGCTCAGGTGGATGATGGTGACTACATGCTGACCACCAGCACTTAGTCCCCAGACTGGCTGGAACCAGAAGGGTGATGACTGAGATTCCTGACAGCTCAGCCTGTTACCTCAATGCCAACCAATCAGAAGAAGATCCATGAGCTGATCTCGCAGCCTATGACCCTCTCCCATGACGCTGCTGAAAAACCCTTGTCTAAAAGCCATGAAGAGTTCAGTTTTTTTGAGCGTGAGCTGCCCGTTTCCCTTGTTTGGTGCCCTGCCATAAACGCTGTACTTTCCTTCACTTGAACCCAGTGTGGGTAGATTGGCCTTGTGCATGTCAGGGGAGTGGACCTGGGTTTCATTTGATAACAGCCCAACAGCCCTACAGATTCTGGGGAGACACCAGGGCTCCTCCAAGGGACCATAGCCCCATCAGTGGAGGGAGGGGTCCCTGCAGGGACAGCCTTGTCCCAGCGGCCCTTGAGGGGCCGGGGAGGCTGACTGCCTTGCTCTCAGTGTGGTAGGCCAGACACCCCACTGGGTGGTGGGAAATAAAAACCACAGGATCCTCTCCTCCCACACCAGTGTGGGGCTGCTTGCTGCAGCGGGGCTGGGGCAGACTGCACTCTGCTCTGGGCTCCCCTGCCCCCCAGGAAGGAACAAGATGGCCAGGTGCTGAGGCAGGGGTGATTTGGAGCCAGTTGCTCAAGAGCCCGGCAAGCAGCCTGGTGGGGGCTTGGCCTTGCACTGGGGGCCCCACCCACCCGGCTGGGTACCTGCTGCTCCTGCAGCTGCCGGATGGTGCTCTGCGCCTTCTGCAGGTCCTCGGCCGCTGAGCTGCACTGCTGCCGCACCACGGCCAGCTCCCGCTTGATGACGTAGTTCTCCTCGGCCTCCTGCGCTCGCGTCACCTGTCCCTGAGCACAGCGAGGACGGGGGTGCCGTGACCCTCTGCTCACACCCCAGGCTCTGCCTTGGGCCCACCTCAGGGGAGGCCCAGAGAGGATGGAGGCGGAGCAGAAGGAAGAGGGGTGAGGCCTCCCACACTCAGAGCCCGGCATGGGGTGCTCCACAGGGCTGGGGGACGTGGGTGGGAGGCAGGCAGGAACAGGACACCAGGAGGAACCTGGAGGGACCCACCCGCCCCGGGGGCCCAGGCTCTGGCTCTAAGCCTCTTATTCAGGGCAGATGGCACAGCAGAGGCTGGGCTCTGCCGGTGACCATGGAGGTTGGGGGTGCAGCCAAGGGACCAGAGGCTCAGGGCTGGCTCCTCAGGGCCAGGCTGGGAGGTGGAATACATCTCTCCCGGGGACTTCTCCAGTCCCAGACCCTGGGACTTTCACCTGCCTAAGGCTAAGACTTGCCCCCCCATCCTCATCCCCTCACCCCACCCAATTTGGGCCCCCCATTCCAGGCTCGGAGCCACCAGGTGGCAGGCAGAAGCTTCCAGATAAAGCCATTCAAGATAAGGCAGCAGCAGAAGCAGGTGGGTGAGAGATGGCAGGCCTTGCAGGTAGGAGCCAAGAAGAGCATAAGGGGCCAGAAGGGGTGCATGTGTTTGCGCGCGCGTCGTGTGCATGGTGCGTGCGTGCGCGCGCGCGCGCGCGTGTGTGTGTGTGTGTGTGTGTGTGTGTTGGGGGGAGTCTCAGCCGTGCGCACACCAGGGCCTGTTGCTGATGCACCCTCAGGGTCCTGGAGCCCTCCTGGGTCCCCACCTTTGTCCCCTGGAGGGAGGAAACTCTCTGTGCGTGTGCGCGTTCATACGCCACATGCACACCCCCGCCCCCGAGGGAAGCCTCTGTCTCCCCTGAGAAGCGGTCCCCAGCCGCCCCCATGCGCAGCGCCAGGCCGGCCCCCCTCGCCCCGGCCAGGGGAGAGGCGGCCCGGTGGTTGTGTGCGGACCGGGAAGGAGTGGGAGAGGGAGAGCTACGGTACCTGGATTAACCTATCAGCCAGAGCAGCGCTCTCCTACCCGCCGGAGGGGTTCCGAGCGACAGGGGGAGGAGGCAGAGCGGAAGGCGCGGGGACAGGAGAAGGGGAGAGACAGACAAGAACCACTCGTCACTAATGCAGTGGACTATCTCTAGAAGCGGGGAGAGAGGAGTGAGACCGGAGAACCAGAGAACCAGCAGGAGAGGACCCGGAGGAAGACCAAAGCCAGAGCCAGCTCCGTCCTGAAGAGGGGTCTGTGTGAGCAGGGAGGGCAGTGCCACCCCGCTGCGGGCCACCGGGCTGGGGCCCCGTTGGGAAGAAATGCATTGGCCTCCTTTCCTGGGAGGGTGATGGGGGTACAGAGGTGGCAGCACTGGGCCGGGTGAATGTTAATTGGGAGGCAGAACAAGAATGGAGGCTTTGGGGCAAGGGCAACAAATTCCACCTACTCCCTGTGGTCAGTGGAGGGTCAAGTGTGAGAATGAGGGGTGAGCTGGAAGTGGGCCCCTTCATTTCTATTCCAATCTTTAAAAACAGGTTGGGGGCTAGTGTCGAGGCTATGGGACCCCCTCCATGGTGCTGGTAGCAAGGCCACCCCTTCCTCCTCCACCTTTCTTTGGAGGATGAATTACATTTCCAGGGCACCTACTTCCCATACCCAGGCAGCCCGGTGTTTGCAGTTAGTGGGGTTATAACTCAACCTTCATCCCCAAGCAAAGTTTCCCCACGGCCCCCAATTTATACGGCTGCCCAAATCAAAGTGGGGCTTGTGGCGGGATTTACACTGGGCTCCTCAGAGCCCGCCAGTTCAGGGCGGGGCCTGCACAGAGACGGGGGAGTGGGGGCAGATGGCTGACTGGCCCTCTTGCTGCTGGGTCCTGCCTGGGGCTCGGAGGGTTCGTGTCACAGGCTGGTGGCCATACCCCTCACCTTCTCCAAGGTCTCAATCCGCTGCTTCAGGAGCCGGTTCTCTGTCCGAAGCCTCTACGGGGTTGTGGGGAGAGGGGAGAGCATGTCAGAGCCAGCCTCCTGCTCCAGTACACAGTGAGGTTTGTCCCCTCAAGGCCAGGCGCCCTCCAGGCAGGAGGTGTCTAAAGTTCTGGGTGAGTGATTGCAGAAGACAGTCAAGGCCAATTCCCGTTCAGAGTAGCCCACTAGATTAGATATATTTATGTTTTCAAACCAAACCTTGGTTCATTAAAAATAATATGATCGCTGTTGTGGATGTGAATGGTGTGCTGGGGGCTGGGTGGTCAGCTCCCATGCCCCCCTCCGATGTGTCTACCCCAGGGTTAAGCCTGTCAAGGGCCAACCTCACATGACGCCTACCAGGGGGCAAAGGCCCCTGGGTTTGGAGCGAGGCTGCTATCAGATGGCCCCCACCCCTAACTACTTCCCTTTGAGCCCCTAGTCCAGTAGGGGTGGGGGGACGGACCCCTCTAAATTCTCTGAGGACAAACTCCTCTCTGAGTCTGAGTCTGGCGGGAGGGAGCCTTGCTGAACAGGCGCGAGCCCGTCAGCTGGACAGCTACATTTCTGCAAGCCACTGAGAGCCAGCTGTACCCAGCAGTTGTCACTCCCCACTCGGGAGTTCTGGAGATGCTCTCCCCTGCTCCCACCCTCCCTCCTGTGCTGGTGGTTCTGGTTAGATATCTGTGGTTTTCGGTTCCCCTGCAGCCTTTTGGGGAGCAGGGGAGGTGACATATGCCTTGTACCTAGTTTCTACCGAAGTACCCCTTAAGAAGTAGGTACAGAAATGGTTTTCATCAGCAGATTAGTGAGGGGCCTGCTTCCCTGTGGATCACAAAGAACATTGCCTAGTTTCTTCCGGGGAGAAAAAGGTGATGGAAACACCCGGAACATTCCCAGGAAGCAGCTGTGGTCAGAGATAATCGCAGACTTGGTGGATGGTCACTGACTCATGGTGGAGTCAGTGGGAGGCGAAACTTGAGGGAGAGGAAACTAGCTGGAATCAGGCAGTGTTTGGCCTGAGCCTCCCAGCTCACTGGGGTCAGAGCTGTTTCAGGCCCCGGTCTCTGTTCCTCATCGGGATCCAGGACCAGAGTCCTGCCCCCTGCCCCCTGGATTGCCCTGCCCCCTTTCTGGCCTCAGGGCATTGATGCACAAGCACAGCCATCCTTGGAGGAGCTGGATGTGCCGACCAACAGCTCTCCCGTCTCCTCTCACTCTAAAGGGAAAGTGAGAGCAAGTGAACAAGGACCATGGGGTGGGGGGACTAATCACATTATTAAAATTTTTTTCTTCTGTATCTTTGAGTCTTGACATCCTGCAGCTTTGCTAATCCTGGAGAGACTGCCCCTCCCAGGGTTAGTTAATTCCTAGGGATGGTAAATGACCTGCCTGCTAGTTTGCCTTCCACATGCAAACCAGCCAATCCAGAGCCCAGGCCCCTATCACCTCCCTTATCTGACACTCACACACCAAGCCAAAATTTCCCCTGCCCTGTTGTCCCAGGGCAACTAGGAATCACTTCTATAGCTCAGAGCCCCTGAAATTATTCAAATGAGCCAATCTCAAACGTGCTCAAATTACCTACCTCACCCTACCCTGCCTCACCCCTCCCTTCCTGTGGGAACCACAGTAAAGATTCTCGCCCATGCTTTGCTCTTCACTCTTTCTGCCTCCTGACGCACCCTCGTGCCTCCCTGTGTGGCCCTGTGTGCAGTGGTGTGCCCCCTCCCCTTGGGAACTGTGAGTAATAAACTCTTCTTTCAAAGGCAGTCTTCTCTGTGTCCATCACAATCACCATGCCTGATTAAAACAAATCCCAGGTACATTTTAAAATAAGCTAAAGGTGAAAGAGCAAAGGGCAGGGCCAGGGGAGAAAGCATCTGCCCTGCCCTTGGGCACCCAGGCTCCTCTCCGGAGAAATTTCCAGGCTGGGCAGATGGTCTCCGGGTCTGCTGTGTCCCTACTTACTGCTGAGCCCTCGTGGTCAGCAGGTGGGAGCAGGCCCTTGTCTGTGCATGAGTAAGGCACGCATACGTGTTTGGACCGGTGCATCAGTGAAGCTGCCATTCTTGAGAAAGGGAATGGCTTAAAAATTTAGGACACAAAATTATTTCCGGAAAACCTACAAAGAGGGTCCAGACAATGATGCCCTCTTTCCCCACTCAGGTACAGGGGGCAGGTGACCTGGATTCTAATCTAGGTTTCTAGAGGAGGTAAGGATGATGATGATGGTGGTGGTTAATAATTAGTAGTAGTAGTAGTAGTAGTAGTAGTAGTAGTAGTAGTAGTAGTAGTAGTAGTAGTAGTAGTAGTAGTAGTAGTAGTAGTAGTAGTAGTAATAATAATAATTTGACCAGAGAGCAAGTGTCATCCCCATTTTGCAGAAGGGGCACTGAGGCTCAGAGAGGTGAATTCACCTTCCTGGCAGGTCACACAGCTGGTCTGTAGCAGAGCTGGGGTCTGTGGGACTCCAGTCCCAGCCACTGTGGGACTCTGCCCCTGAAGAGGACAGAGCCAGGCTGTGTTGGGGTTTGTTTGTGTCCGTCCCCCCACCCCTACTGGACTAGGGGCCCTCAGTCTCTGCTGTGACTCTGGCACACAGTAGGTGCTCAATAAATGCATGTTGAGTCAATAACCAAAACCATGGCTGGAGGGATGAGAGCAGGAGGAGGACTGGATTCAGAGGCTCTGCATCCTCAGGAGACTTTGTGATGTGTAAGAAATGTCTGTCTGGTTGTCGTTGTGGTCCTGGCACAGAGCTCCTAAAACCCTGGGCATTGCCTCAGTGAGAAGAGGAATAAAGGTGTCTTTTGTTACCTCGGTGAGGTGGCTTTTGGAAAGCCCCCAGGTCACCTCAGGAAGGGGCTGGTTGCCAGGTGATGCAATCTTGTGATTAGAGGGTTGGAACCTCCGGGGAGGGGCGAGGGCTGGAGGCTGACTCGCTGCCTGCCCTGGGACCTGCCCTTAGTGCTGGGGCACACCCTGGCTCACACAGGGCCTGGAGGTGAGTGAACACCCCCCACCCCCAACCTAAGCAGCGTGGTGTGCAGCCCGCTCAGGGAAGGGCTGCCCTCTAGTGGCTGCTGAGGGGCTCCTGAGGGCACTGCGTCTGGTCCGGTCCTGGACTCACCTTGATCTCTATCTGCTCCTCCATCTCCTTGCTCTTCATGGCCGCGTACTCCTTCTCCAACCTGCAGTGGGAGGGCGGATGTGCTCACTGTCCCATCCTCAGGGACCCCCTTTCTACTAGCAGCCCGGCTGCCTGGTACTGACCTCTTCATCTTCTTGGGGTTGTACTTGACCTGGTAAGCCTTGAGGATCAGCTTGTCTGGGCAGCTGTCGAACTGATGGGGGATCACCCTCTGGAAGTACTGTGGGGACACAGGCGGTCACCGACACACAGACCTGGGCCACCTAGGACCACTTGAGCCCCCACTGCACCCTCCTTCCTGGGAGGAGGGTCTGCTCAGGGTGTCACCAGGACCTCAGTGCAGGGCCTACCTGCTGTGGGCGCTCAGCCTGCTCAGGACAGCAGGCTTCGGGGGCTCCTGAGGGCGAAGGCCAGGGGTGGGGCGGGGGATGGGGTCTGAGCACAGGAGGCCTTCAGGAGGGAGACATGCTGCTGCCCCAGGGCAGTGAGAGGAGGGAGAAGAAGCTGAAGGATCAGGGTGGCGGAGAGGAAGTTGGAGGGAAGACCCCTCCGTGGTCTGCCTGCTCGCCCGTGGCCCCTGGAGCCTCCGCAAAGAGTTAAGTGCAAGCTGCCGGTGGACACAGCTTGTGGCAGCTCGGGGCCAGGCTGGCTCCTGCTCCCCAGCCCAGCTGGCCCCCTCTGGCAGCTGTGGACAATGGATGCCCGTGTTCGTGGACACAACCGTGGCCTTTGTGCATTCTTCCCTGAAGCACCAGCTGGAGGACGCTGGGAGGGGGCAGGGGCCTGCATGATGGGGACATGGCGGTGAGAAGCAGGCTGGCCTCCTCTCGGCAGGCAAGGCAGCTGAAGCACGCCGGGGCGGGGCGGGGCCAGAGACTGTCCCAGACCCCTCACTCCCTCCTGTGCCCTCGCCCCGCCTGGCTGCTGGGGCTGAAACCACACCCAAGGCCTCCTGGTTTGCTTAGTATTACTGTTTGCTGCATTAGGCTCTGGGGGACCCGGAGCTGCGAGTAGGGGAGGGGCACCTCCCAGGGCTCGGCCTGGGCCTTCCTCTCTCCCGCTGCCAGGCTGCTCGCCCTGGACTGTATCTGGCAGAGCCTGAGGCTCCTCGGGGTCCATGCTGGTCCTCTATGGAGACCTCAGAGTGGGGAGGAGCAGAGGTGATGGGAAAGGATCAGGGTGCTCAGGAACTCCAGGGTGTCCCCATCTCTCAGGATGCTCCACCTGCCCAGGTGCCCCCGCTGGGGGCAAGCCCACCTGCCCTGGCCCTCCTGGCCCACCTGGGACATCCCCTCCATGTCCAGCTGCATCAGCTCCGTCTGGTTCACCTGCAGGAGGGCAAGGCCCACCCGGAACACGATCTCCAGACCCTGCAAAGGCAGCGGCAGGGGCAATGCATCTCTGGCCCTACGCTCCCAGGGAGTCCTCTGACCTTTCCCGGAGCCCCCGCCCATCCTCGGCCTGGGCCTGGGCCTGAATCATTCCCAGTGAGGATGTTGATCACCCTATCCAGAGCAGCCAGGAGAGGGAGGGTGGGGTCCTCACCTCGTACATGAAGATGTCAAAGATACGGGTAGCGACGGGCAGCGGGAAGGTGGTCAGGAAGAGCGTGAGGAACCAGGAGGAGGCGTACATGGACGTGTGGAAGCTCTGGGAGCGGAAGTGGGTGTTCAGGTCCGGGAGCTGCTCCTGGGGGTTGGGGAGGAGTCCAGGCACTGTGAGGAGGGCGCTGGGTGCAGCTGTCAGCATTGCTATCTAGAAGTGCTGGGCCTGAGTGCCCATACGTCTGGGAGCCTTCCCTGATCTGCCCTGGGCAGCCCTTGGCTCCCTTCCTTCGTGTGTCCTCAGCACTGTGTCTGGGTGGGGCAGGAGCACCCCAGAGCTCTGAGGAGCACAAGGTGGGGACACAGGCAGGGGTGGCAGGAGTAGCAGCAGCCTGTGGGTGCTGGGTGCCCACCCAGGGCAGGCGCTGGCCCAGCTGCTCCTGGGATCCTCCCACTCCTTCTGAGGCTTTGGGGGGTTACATAACTCCCCAAGGTCACCCAGGGGGCAACAGGGAAGGGCGGTTTGAGCCATTGCCTCTGTGTCCACTCCCAGCGCCCCTCCCCTATAGCACTTTGTGCCCAAAGTGCTCAAAGGATGCTCAAGGCTGGGACTTCCGACACTGGGAAGTGACAGAAACTGGGGAAACTAAGGCTAGAGAAGGCGTTAGGACTTCTTGGATGTCCTTCATTGGGCAATGGACACTCGAGCTGTCCCTCTGCCCACCCTGGGCTTCCTCCTGGACTTAGGGACGCTCTGGTGGCATCTGGCTACTTCACCATGGGAGCGCCGGGTTACCCAGCCCGCTGTGCAATCGCTTCTCCTCTGCGGACCCGGGCCCCCTGTCTGCCAGCACTACCAGTTACCACGACCGACAGCACCTCCACATCCTCTAGGCCTGAGGAGGGGGGCCTTCACCACCAGGCACATCCTGCCCACTGTGGTGCAGAGCTGCACAGCCCCACCTGTAACTGGCTTCCAGAACAGGTGTGTGTGTATGTGGTGCGTGTGCGTGTGCGTGTGCATGTGTGTGCGTTGTGCGTGTACACCAGCTCTGTCTGCCAGCCAGGAGCCGGCCCTGCGGGGGCTGCTATTTATAAACAGGCGGCTGCGGCTCTCCAGTAATCAGCAAAGACAGGCAGACAACACTTTCCCTCCTTCTCCACCCCGGGGAGCAGACAGGAGGGGACCGTGGGTGTGTCTGAGCCATCCCAACAGCTCCATCCCAGCCCTCGTGGCTCTGGGATGCCCGAGCTCTCTGGAGCCCCCGCTGTAAGGGGCTGGCCCCTCCCCAGTCCCTCAGAGCATCCTTCCAGACAGTGCTATACTGCCCAGCGGACTAGAGCCCCTTTCTGAGCTGGAACGCCTGGATGTGACTGCTCAGGTCTGGAATTTTCAAAGAGACTCGCTGGGATGGCTGAGGTGAGCGCCCATGGGTGCGAGCTGGCCGAGAGGAGTGGGTGGGTGCCAGCTGCCCCTGCCCCTGCTCACCTGTAGCATGTACTCAAACTGGTAGATGCAGAGCCCCAGCTCGGCCATGCTGGGCTTGAAGAGCTCCCGCAGGCGGTACTCCTGCATCAGCCGCACAAACACACAGAAGGCCTCCTCCTCGGGCATCTAGGGGTGGGCGGTGGGGGGTGTCTGTGAGCAGGGGTGGGGTGGGAGGGGGCACCTGCTGTTCTTCTTACGGTTTCTCCTCTTTCTGTTTCATCTACTTTTACTGAACATGGACAGTGCCGGGCTGCCTGGAGCCCCTCATCAAACCTCTGGTAAATACTGTCCCCTTGCTTTACTGATAGGAACCCTCCTGAGGCTGAAGTCGCCTGTGGAAGGCTGCCTGGCAGGAAAGAGTGGAGCTGGGACTTGAACCCAGGTCTGGCCGCCTCCGGAGCCCACGATGCAGACATCCTCCAGTGCACTCCCAGCCGTCTCTGTTCTCCTGCTCCTAAGCCTGCTGGATTCTCTGGAGGAGACGCCCAGCCCCACAGACACTACACTGGCTGACCTAAGCCTCCCACCTGAGACTCTGGAGGGGTCCGACCCCAGGAGGTGACTGAGTGGGTCAGTCTGCACCTCCAAGCCTGGGACAGGACAGGCGGCCAGCCCTCTCTGCTCACCCACTGGGGGCTTGGCTGGGGACTGTCAGAGGTCATGGGTGGATGGAGAGGGAGGCTCTGACCCTTCTGTCCACCTTCTAGGGGAGAGCCAGGATGGGCTGGGCCCTCCAAGAGCTTGGCCCCGGGCCACCTACCTGCATGAGGAGCAGGCCCACGATGAAGGCGCTGCCCTGGCAGTAGCCCACCTCCCGGTCCACCAGGGAGTACGCCTGCCGGGGAACACACGCGTGTCAGGGCAGGGTCCTGCCGGGCCCGGTGACAGCAGGCTGCCGTGGGTGGGCAGCGCTTCTCTGCGCAGGGCTGGGGGGCGTCACCTTCATGACATTGAAGAGGACCTCCTGGCCCAGGCTGTCCTGGCCCTTGAAGAACTCGTGCTCCGGGTAGGTGCGGGCGATGTCCCTGCGGATCAGCTTCTCGCACGGCGAGGACATCTTGAGCAGCTCCGAGTACTGGTTCTTGACCGGCATGTCGGTGGCACTACACAGGAGCTGCCACACGATGGCCCGGAAGTGGTGCGGGATGCCTTTGCGGATCAGCTCCTGGAGACAGGGTGGCCGGGGGGAGTGGGAGGCCGGGCTGGACCCCATCCCAGCGCTGCCTCCCCACAGCCACCAGGCCTGGCCTCTGAGGTCAGGCTTGCCCGCGCCTTGCCTGTAGCCCAGAGCTCAGCTGAGCCACCACACTGCAGACGGAGTCCACAGTGAGGATATGCCACCCCAATCCAGGGTGGAACACGGTGGGCAGAGAGCAAATGGGTGCCTGGGATGCCAGCCCCTCCCCACACTCCCTCCTCTCACCCTGCCCTGGCCAGGCGTCCTCAAAGTGCCTGCGCACCTCCACTCCAGCCCCCGTGCTCATGCTGGGGCCCCTGGCAGACCCTGGCCCCCAGCCCCACTGCCCCCGCCACCTTGAGCAGCTTCTCCTTCCTGCGTCGCCACTCCTCCCACTCGTTGGCGATCCGGCCCCACAAGATCCATGTGTCCTCCTCCAGGTGGCTCAGGTTGGAGGAGGCCGAGGAGCTGGACACCAGCGAGGAGCCGCTGTTCCGCCGGGAGCCATTCATGGAACGCATGGACTTGGAGTCGGCTTCCAGGAGCCTGGGCGAGCAGGGTCAGTGGAGGCAGCTGGGCTGTAGGCGCTTCCCACCCCGGCTCCTGGCCCTTCCTCTGGGACCCCAGGGATTGGGTCTTAGTGGTTCTTCCCCTATGGCACTTGCTGAGTGACCTCGGCCCATGCCCTAACCTCTCTGAGCCATGGTCCTGATCCCTGGACCCCTGGAGAGGCTGCCATTCCCGTGTCTCGTTCTGTGCCCAGCACTGGGCTGAGAAGCATGTGGATTAGCTCATTTAATCTCGTACCAACCCTGTGGGGCAGATTTTGTTCAGGTCTATGTTTACAGACAAGTTGCAGAGAAGGTAAAGCTGGCTGGGGGCACCAGCCAGCAAGGGCCTGTACTGACCATGTTTCCGGTGCACTGACATCTGGGAGATGTCCCTGACCTGGAGATAGCTAAGGACTCGGCTGCCAGTGAGCCCTTCACGTGCAAACCAACCAATCCGGCACCCACAAACCAACCACCTCTGTTATCAGGCTCTTGCACTCAGGCCACTGTCCCTCAGCCTCAGTCACCCCAGGGCCAGGCGCTCGACAAATAGGCCCAGCCCCTATGCCCTGAGTTTGCTGAAATGATTCAGACTAGCCAGCCCTAAGCCCGATTACGCTGCCTCACCGTTCCTTCATGCAGAAACCGCAGTAAAGGCTCTCGCCCACATTTTTCTCATCCCCTCTGCCTCCTGACGGACCCTGGTGCTTCCCCATGTGGCCCCACCTGGTGTTCTGTGCCCCTCCTCTTGGGACCTGTGAGTAATAAACTGTCTTTCCAATGGCAGTGAACTCACCATACCTGCGCAATAATACCACCTACACTTTAAAACAGGGGGAGGGCCAGGGAGAAAGGTGAGAAGGCCCAACCCCAGTCACAGTCCTTATTTCTCCCTCCAACAAGGGCTAGATAAGTGAAGGCCAGACTCACTCGGCCTCACTCGGTACCTCGGGCTCCTCATCTGTTGGCAGGATGACAGGAGACATCCTTGTCAAGCCACTGATGGGAGGTGTTACTCTGCCCAGGGCTGGGCCTAGCTCTGAGTGTGAGGGGACAACTAGGATCTTGTTTCGGGCCCAGGCTGCACCCCAAGACCTTTCCCCGTCCCTCGGGTCCCAACTTACCGGTTCTGCTCCTCGAGCTTGGCCAACAGCTCCAGCTCATCGGGGCTGAGGTTCTCAGAGTCAGAGGTGGGGGAGCAGGTGGGGGCCGACAGGGCCTCCTGGGACGAGGAGTCCGGGCTCAGGGTGGGGCTCGCCATGGTGGGCAGGCTCATCAGCCGCGAGAAGGGTCAGGTCACAGCTGCATCTGGGGGCCAGAGATGTGTGTGGTCAGAACTGGGTGGCTGGCTCCTCTGGCTCTGGACCAACTGAGTCTGCTGCTCACCTGGACACTTCCTCACCCCCAGGCTTCCCATCTCTGGTCTGCTCACCTGGTGCACCCCTCAACCCCACACCCTAGCTCAGCTGATGGCCTTGCTGGCTCCTTCTGTTCCGGATGCTGGCTACCGGGATCCCTGCCTTTGTAGTCCAGATGCCTGGATGGAGACAGGGGGCCATGGCCAGGGCCTGAGCCGTCCTGCTGTCCCTGCCAAGCCTCAACTTGACACCCCTGAGTCTTCAACAGGGCCAGGGGTCAAGGCTCCCCCCACTCAGGGCCTCTGCTGGGACCCAGAAGTGCAGGTACCCCTGTTTTGGTGGCCCTTCCTGACAGCCTTGGTCCCTGTCCCTGGCGGTGGCCTTCCCTGGAGCCCTGCCTCAGCATCTGACCTTCCCTGTCTCATCAACCAAAGTGGGCTGCTGGCACAGCCAGAAGCAATTATTCTCTGCTGTTAATTGTCTGGTGCTGCCAATGGCCTTAGGCTGGGAAGCCAACGTGTCAGAGTGCTGGGAATCTGTGCTCTGGTGGCTGTAGGCCCATCTCTCTATTTTTCCTGGGGATGGTCTGGCCCCACCCTCCTGGGGGCTTTGGGGCCACTAGCCTCCCCACTTCTGCCGGCCGCAGGAGAGGCAGCTCAGCACTACACCAAAAGCAAGGGCTCTGGACTCAAATGGACCAGTGTCTGAACCATGGCTCTCCTTGGACCCCACCTGACCTGGCTCTGACAGCTCAGCCACAGAGGGGCCCTCGCTCAGTTCCTGGAAAGGGGGCATCTGGTCCCTTAGGCAGCAGGAGGACAGTCACAGGATCAGCACAGACCTTTTCTCACCTGCCTAGCACCCTCAGGTCGATGGGCACCTTCCCACAGCCTAAGTTTAACCCCCAACCAACACCTGAGGGCCCACAGGTTGGCTGGACTTGCCCTGGCCATGCACTTGGTTCTAGTCTCCTTCCTCTGTGCTGCCCTGTCATGGGAGGAAGAGGGGGGCGTTTTTCTTTCACCTTGTGGGGGGCTTTCTACCCCAGGACCCTGTGGCTCCCCAGGGCTGGCCCTGAGCCCCTGGCCTCTGAGGGCTCCCCGAGTTTGTTGGGCACCGAGGGCTCTGGCTCTTGGTGAATGGTACAAATTCTAGGCAATGGCTCCCATCAGAAACAGAAGACCTCTTCCTCCCATTGCCCAGCTGGCAGGGGACCACCTGCCCCAAAGACCAAGCCAGGAGTTAGTCATTCCTGAGAGAGAGGCGGCTCCGGGATCTCCTGCAGAGTCAAAGTCTGTGGGTGGCCCGGGGCAGAGACGGGCTGTGGACAAGAAGCGCTGAATTGGAGGGATCTCTCTGGGCAGGGAGGGGCTGGGAAGGCAGCGGGGCTTTCCCAGCTTCAGAGATGGGAGACGGGGAGGAGGTGGTGGAGGCGAGGATTGAAGCCTCATCAGCACAGCTGGATTTGGGAAGTAGCAGGGGCCTCAGAGAAAAAGACCACACGTGGCTGGGGCCTGGGCCCACTGTCCCCTTGCTGAGCCCAGGGGACTTCAGAAGTGTGTTGCCTCCCCATCCCCTCTCCACAAAGAGCACAAGAGAATGGTTCAGCTCTGGATTTCTGGGCCCTCTACTAGCAGAGTTTGTCAGATATTTATCACATATTAATGTGTATTTCATACCAGAGATAAAACTGATTCAATACCCAGGACTGAAATCTGCAGTCTGAGAGGCAAAACCTCCTGATCCCTCAGGAACTTTCTCTTGACTCATCTTCAGGCTGTAAACGCTGCCCAGCCCTGGAAGCCATCCTTCAGATGCAGGCACACAGACACACGCACGCAGACACACACTCCTTCACATTCACACACTCATACAGGACTGCACTCCCACACACTCACTCAGATACATTCACATTCACAAACCATCTCACACACAGACACACTAATACACTCCTGCATGCACACGCACACACTCTGAAACACTCACACACAATCACCCACCCATGGACTCAGATACACATTCTTACACACATTCACACACTATCTTCCACCCATACACACCCACACATACTCTAGCTGGCACACACTTGCACACATAAGTACACACACTTCCTACACTGACCAGACCTCGCCACCCCTAGAACCGAGTAAATACAGATGGACATGGGGCCTGCTGCTATCTCAGCTCTGTGAGCGGCCCTGCCACCCTCTCTAGAGCTTCGTGACTCTTCCTGCCTCAACCCCTCCTTCCCTGGCGCCTACTGAGGGCCATCTGAGGGCCAGCCGCTGTCCTAGGTACAAACATGTGGAGTGGAGCGAGGTGAGTGAGCCCCCACCTCCCCAGAGCATGCAGCCGTCCCACCCTCGCTGGACAGGCACAAAGATGCGGAGACAAGGCAGGTCCCCTGGATGCTGGGAGGCCACTAGCCTCTGAGATCCTCACACAGATCCCCCAGGTCTGAGGTCCCAGACTCTCCATGGCCCCAACTTTAATGCCCTTTGCTTCTGCTCCACCTCAGCCACCCGAGAGGGGGCCCTGGCCCCTGTGGAGTGGGCAGTGGGCCACCGAACCCTGTCCCTGCTGGCTCCATATGGTGGCCCATGGCTGGTGAAGCTGAGTCAAGTCAGAAGGGTGGGAGGAGCCTGTGCCGGTCAGCTGGGGTTGGGGATGGGGGAAAGGTCCAGATGTTGGGGGTCTTCCAACTCCCTTTTCCTCCCATTTTGGACGCTGCCAGTCATGCTTCCACCTTCGTGAAGTCCTCTCCCATCTCATTTCTGAGCGGCTGGACTCCTGGGCCTCCTCCTACCTCTGCCCTGGCTTCTCAGGCTCTCGCATGGTGCCCCTCCCTCCACAGGGCTGCCTCAGTCCTCATCCCTTCCTGGGCTAAGGTGATCTCACGCTCCAGGCTTAAATGACCAAATGTATGTCAGTGATGCTGACACCCTTGTTCCCAGCTTTTCCTCTCTCCTGAGCCCCAGCCAAGATTGCCAACAGGCTCCTGAACATCTCCATCAGATCTCCCACTGGGGCCAGAATCACCACTGTCTGGGTATCTGCTACTTCTGTGCCCTGCGCTGAGCCTGGCACCATGGGAAGAGTTGAGACATATTTGAGGAGTTGAACCCACCTGCCTGCTCACTGATCAGTGTCTCCTGAGTGCCCACCAGGTCCCAAGCACCGTGCTGAGGGCTGAGGACTGCTGGGCAGAGAAAGACATAGACCCGGCCCGCCCTGAGCACATGGAGGGTAGAGACCAAGGAACAATCATCCAAACTTTCTATTACAGATTGAGAAAAATGCATGGAATAAAAGATAAGGAAGTGGGGGAGGGTAGAGCCCAGTGGTAGAGCGCATGCTCAGCGTGCACGAGGTCCTGGGTTCAGTCCCTCCTCTAAAAATAAAGGAACAAATAAACCCAATTACCTCCCTCCCCCACCAAAACCCCCCTAAATAAACAAATAAATCAGTCTTAAAAAATTAAAAAAAAAAAGATAAGGTAGTGTGGAAAACAGTGTGGCGGTTCCTCAAAAAGTTGAAGAGTTACCAAGTGACCCAGCAAGTCCGCTTCTAGGTGTCTGCCTGCGAGAGTGGAAAACATACACCCAGCAAAAGCTGGACACGACCGCTCACGACAGCACAATTCACAAAGGCCAAGGAGTGGAAACAATGCAAGTGTCCACTGACGGACGAGTGGATAAACAAAATGTGGCCTATCCATACAGTGGAACGTTATTTCACCATCAAAAGGAAGGAAACCAATGTGTGCCACAGCATGGATGAGCCTCCAAGACACGATGCTCGGTGAGAGAAGCCAGACACAAAAGACCACAAGCGATGTGATTCCATTTATGTGAAACGCCCAGAACAGGTACATCTCTAGATGTTGACTAGTGCCTGCCAGGGGCTGGGAGGAACTGGAGAAACTGCTCACGGGATTTCTTTTTGGAATAATGAAACGTTCTGGAATTAGACAGTTGCATGGCTTTGTGAGTACACTAAAACCCACTGAACTGTTCACGTGACAGGGCTGAATTTTTCTGTTATGTGAATGATAGCTCTATTAAAAAGGTGATAAGGGATGGGTGGGCGGGTGGAGGAACAGTGGGGCAGGAGCGGCGGGGAGGGGTGTGACTCCAGAAGAGACGAGAGGATTCTGCACGCACGGGCCAGGCCCCCTCGGGGCCTTGCGAGCTGCGGCGGGATCCCGAGTGGGCTTGTACTTTGGGAAAACTCTCCTGGCTCCTCAAACTCAACCCCTCCTGACTTAAGCCGGCCCCTCTTCCTGCCACAGGCAGGCCTACCTGGGTCCAGGGCAGCCTGCTGCTACCCTCCTGGTGCTTGCCTAGAAGCCTTCGGCTGTGCCCGACTTTGAAGTGGAGCCCCAAAGTTTCTGCGTGGTGCATCCAGCCCGGCCAGCCTTGCCTCCCTCCGCATCGCAGGCCAACCACACTCAGCCCTCCAGGAGCACCTGTTTCTTTCTGTCTTTGCATATGCTGTTCCGACTGGAAGGGCATTCTCCAAGACCTGGTTTGAGTATTTTGTGTGTGTGTGAAATCTTTCCTGGCAACACCCTACTGTGCTGGGCCACTTCTCTCCCCTCTTTCCCTGAAAATTCCTACCCCTGCACCCAAGCCCACGGCACATTCTATGGCAATTCCTTCTCTACACGCCTGCCTGCCCTACTGGGTCATGACCATTCTGGGGGGCCAGGACCTATCTTCTTAATTTTCTACTCCAAGCCCCTAACACAGCATCTGGCAGTCAGAAGGTGCTCATTCAAGGTCTGCGGAATGAACAAAGAGAAGAATCTCTGTGCTGCTCAGCCAGGTGATCAAGGTCAACGTCAACAGGGCTAAGTCACGTTGAGAGTGTGTGCCCTTGGGGTGAGAAGGGCGCTTCAGCTCTGTGTCTTTCTCCCCAAAACACACCACCCTGGTTTCATTAGAAGAAGAACATGTGACAAAACCAGGTTAGGGAACATTTTAGAAAATTCCTGACTAGTCCCCCTCAAAAGGATCAAAGTCATCAAAAACAAGGAAAGCCTATGA